TAACAGGAAGTGAGGGTAGGAAGGCAAAGGGGAAAGCCCTGAAGGTCACCAAAAGAACTCTGTCCTTTAATTTTTAAGGAAACGAAAGGTCATTAAAGGAATCTGAGTGAAAGAATGACATGATTTGATTTATAAATGGTCTGCTCTGCTTACAACAGGGAGAAACAGCATCTCAGCAAGCCAAAAAATCAAGCAAGAAATATACATATCATGCATGTGCTAAAAGAGGCATTTCAGAGTCTGCAGAGCCGGGCCGCTATTGCCGGTGATGAGCATGCCCACAGGAGCAAATGGGGAAGGTGGGCAGTAGAAGGCAGGGAGTCTCCGGTTTGGCTCTGGAGTTGCCTGTTTACTCACTCTTCAAGAGCAGATGGATTCTGAGTGCTCAGGGCAGTAGGATGTGGGCATCCAAATTCAAATAAAGGGAAGCCTGACATGGTGGCATCTACCAATAATCCCAGACTGAGGAGACGGAGGTAGGAAGATGGTAAAGTCAAGACCATCCTGGCTCTATAGTGAGATCTTGTCTCAAAAACAAAAACAACAGAGAAAAGCAGGCTTTCTGGCGTATGCCTATAATCCCAATAGTTGGAAAGTGGAATCAGGAAGATCATAACTCCAAGGTCATCCTCAGCTACACATCCAGTTTGAGACTACCCTGGGTCAAAGGTCAAAACCATGAAACACAGGAGGAAAAGAGGGTCAAACTGAGTCCTGAGATATACATAGGGAAGAAAGTTGAAAAAAACTTGAAATTGACAGTGGAGGAAGGAATGATGAGGTAGAACAATCGAGATAACAACCAGTGGACTGGACTCTCCGGAAACAGCCAACGAAATGTAAAGCCCTTCCAATGCACGTATCCATTCACTTAGTCAGCAAACACTGGGCATGTATTATGTGCCAGACACTGTGCACATAAACATGATCTGTGCTCCTATGGAGGCTGCAGTCCAAAGAAGACAGAGATGGCCAGAGCTGTGAGCACTTGTTCCCAATAAAGTGCAGCATGTTTTGGACTAATGCACTTGGAGAGTCAGGGCAGACTTCCCGAGGAGTTGTGTAAAATGGAAGCCTGAAGGGATAAAGGCAGCAGTGAGGAGCCTGTGGGGAACCCAGGGCAAGGTGGAAGAGTCACCGGTGAGGACCTGAAGGAAGGCCTTGCCTGCCCCACAGTCCGCAAGTTCAATGATAGGAACTACAGAAAGAGGTGAGAAAGAAGGGTGGCCTGGGAGAAGAAAGGGACAAGCTGGGCTACTGGGACTCCTGGAGAAACCAGTTTTCTGTGGTTCAGAGAGAAAGCGACCCCAGTGGCGGTAGAATCTAGAGTGGAGACTTGACAGAGCTTTAGAGAAGATAATCAAGACTAACCACCTAGTGTTTAACTGAGACAAGTAGCAGGCAGACAGAAGGCTGGTGGCCGGGCTAAATCTGCGGAGTTCCCAAAACACTGCTGAGAACTCAACAAAACGGTTATGGAGGTCTACAGGGCAACCATAAAATCTGGGATAGGGTTATATACTGGGAATCTCACACACACACACACACACACACACACACACACACACATTAAAGTTACAGGAAAACATAAAATAAAGCCTGGGAATGAAAGCAGAGGATAAAAGACTAGAAAGAGACTAGCTAGGGCTTAATCCAATATGAAATAAGCAAACAGTAAAAGAATCTTATGGAAAAAGGAGGAGGAGGAAGAGGAAGAAAAAGGAAAAACAGAACGAATCCAAGATGGAGCAAGGGAACCTGGGATAAAAAACAACTACTATAAAAAACAAGCACTACTATAAAAGACAGCTAAAGTAAGACTTCACACAAATTCCCACTCAGGAAAAAACTCACTACCAAAGTGTTCACACTACTGCACTATCAACAAGCAAATAATTTTCATCAGCCACAAAAACATTACAGTTACTGGAAAATCTCAGCCGAAGTTTAAAAAAAAAGCAAGACACAGCGTGAACTACTGAAATTAGCAATGACAATTAAGTTTTTAACAATGAGGTTGCTAAAATTTTTATTACTATAGAACTCTAGGTGCTACAGACTAAAAGGTGAAAATAGCGTTTAAAATGGAGGAATGGGGGAAGAAAAATCAATGCAACTTTTCAGTTTTCTGGCTAAAAAAAACAAACTAAACCTTGAAGACCAAGACTAAGTAACATGAAAAGGGGGTGATCTTATCACAATATTTAAAGGTGTCTATATAAAACAAAAACAGCAAGCCAAACTTACACACACACACATAGTTCAAGTTGATTAAAACCATTACTAAAAAACTTATCTTTAAAGCCCACCCTGGTGGCTCTTGCCTATAATCCCACTGCTTGGAAAGTTGATGTAAGATTGCTTTGGGTTTGAGACCAGCCAGGACTACAAGGCAGGACCTATAAGAAGGGAGGGAAGGGCAGGCAAAGGGAAAAGGGATGCACAGAGGAGGTTTGTGTATGATGGTACAGAACACTAACTATACAGCCCTTACTGTAACGCCAAGACACTTTCTGAATTTTCAGAATTCCTTAAGTTATGGGAACTATTGGTTATCTGCTTTTTGGTCTTCCAATATATTCTTGAGGAAAGGTACCTAAATTAATATACTTATCGACACAAGTAGATTATATCATTTAATAGAAACATGAAATCTGTTTTATGCAAAGCAACTGACCTTATTCATTGAACATGGAACGATATAATTAGATATGGCATGAAAGAAATGCCAATTAAATTACCAAATTGGTTTCTTCTGTCTCACAAAGTTAGACATTTTGGTAATTTAACAAACAGCATTATTACCAAACATATGCATTGTTTCCTGGTTAGTTAAAAATATACATCAATTTACTATTCAAACACATTCAGGAATATAGTTACTGTTTCTCCTTTTTCTTCTTTTTCCTTTTTAATTGAAGAATGATGGTATTACAGAATAGAGTACTGCCAATAAGTGCAGTGTTCAATGACGAACATTTATCAAACCAAACTATGGCAACTCCCTTTCTAGTACTCAGAAATATTCCCAAGCTGCAGCCAACATCTGAGAGAGACCCAAACCCAGCTAACTGCAGGCAGTAAAACCACACTTCCCTCACCTCCTACCTGCCAGTTTGAAAATGTTTTCTGAAGCACAAAGAATCTAAGACTATTCTTTAAAAAGTCAAGTCAAATTAATTTAATACCAAATTCAAGTACTCTTTAAATGAGCAAAATACAATGTTGTTTCTTCATTCCCAACTAAAACAATATAGCCACACAAGCAAAAAAAAGCCCAACTGAAAACAAATTTTGCAGCCCTCAAAAATACATATACATATGTATATACATATGCACACACACACTGCCACTGTCAATAAAAACCAGCATGCAATTAACTGAAGTGCATACTGCTTTACAGACAAGGACAAGGTGTGTCTAAAGTCTTGGCATGAGAGCAACCCTTAAACAATAACACACACATATGTATATTATCAAATAAACGTTAGTTCTAGAAAACACAATGCAAGCAGCATGCTAATTCAAGTGTTCACAAGACAACGACAAATAAGGCTTTAGGACCACAGCATATATCATTATGTAACTACAATGCCCATTAAGCAATCACCAGGTTGTAGGTAGGTCTTCCAAAAGGTGTCATTATGGTTTACTGCGATCAGAGAATTGTGGTGTCAGACTTAATCATGCTTAACCTGCAAGCAGGTGTTTACCAATATCAAAAAGTAGAATACCTGTTCTAGACGTAAACCTGAGACTGTGCCCAATAAACTGCGTGCTAACACACAGAATGTCCCCTCTGCACAAACTTTCTATTCCCACACGAAGCAATCTGTTTGAAGCATGCTTTCTGCATGCTTTCTGAACCGAAATACTGACTAAATGCTTAGAACGAGTCGTATTCGGAAGACCAAGACGTGGAAATTGACAATAGAGGCAAAAGAAAGAGTGAGCTAGTGAGGACTCACTGGAGACGTTGCTATTGTCACCACTGACGTCTCAATAGAGACACAGGCACCTCAAAAAACAGGCGTAAAGATTAGCAATGTGCAGGGTCTTTACCAAACAAATTACAGAAACTATACAAAACAATAGATCCATCATAGAACTGAACCCCGCATACACCAACTCCAATACAAGGAGGATAAAGACAGGTGAAGACAGGAGGGCATGCAGATGCCATAAATTAATAGATATTCTACAAATTCTGTGCGGCTGGCTCAAAAAACAAACAGAAAAGAAACTAAGAGAGAGAGAGAGAGAGAGAGAGAGAGAGAGAGAGAGAAATCCGGAAAGCTGGAGTCAGTGCTTCCCAGCCAGCTGTTCTCTGAACTTCAGGACAAACCACCTGACACCCGGAGCAGCCCTCAGAACTACGGGGCAGTAGAAGGGCTCAGAGAGCAGAAATAAAACAACAGCAAAGCCAGGATTTTCAGGGGCTTGGAATTTCAACACTACAGGCGTTTTCCAAGGCTGAGCTCAAACTGTCGGTGGAAAGACTCGTTTCCCACCCAAAGCTGCTGTGGGCACCGCTAGCAGCCAAGATCCCCTCCCATCAGTCACAAACACCGGCTTCCAGGTGCAGCGAAGCACAGCAGCTGCCCTCTCCGCTGGGGCTGCAACACACACACACACACACACACACACACACGAGTTACATAAAGCCGTCCCCAAGCAGCTCCATCTCCAAACACTGAAGGAAACATGGACGCTGAACCGTCTGTTCGCAGGCTTCTCAGCCTTCGTGGATGGAAGAATGCCTCTGACCCAAAGGGTAACCGAGATGTGGGCATTTAAAACAGAGACTCGTTCCTGCTAATTAATCACTGAAGTCGCTAGAAACAAAAGTAGGCCAGGTTTCACGTCCCTCCTGGTCAACTGGGGCACTGGCACCAAGCAGCTGAACGCCCCCAACACTGCCCCTCGGGAGGCCCAGCGGCAGCCGACCCCACTCTCTCAGGACGCTCACAGAATAGCCACCGCCCAGCTAGCTGGCTTACCTCACAGGCAGAGGCGGCCCCACAGGCCTTGAGTTTGTCACCATCTCCCTCAGGCAGACCAGTCCAATGTGTGGCCATCATTTCATTTCAAACTGTAAAGGGACAAATCCTTTGGAGTCCACATTGAAGAGGAGCCACCACACACCAAAAGGGGATCAATTCCACGGCAGGTTCTGAGGCGAAGCAGGGAAGGGACTGGTCCAACAACGTACAGACAAGAAAGATTTGCAGGAAGCCCCTTCAAACGCCCTCTTCAAGAGAATTCGCCCTCTTCATTACTTCAGACAGTGTCCAGGGGCGACAGGTTTCCTTGGCAGGGAGGGTGGAGGCCAAGGGCAGAGAGAAGAGGTCTACTTCCAAGCGGTGCTACTCGAAGGCAGACAAAAATCCTAGTGGGCTGCTCTGGCGTCAGCTTTCGGAGATCCTTCCTAGAACAGGGAGAAGTTAATGAAGGACGTGAACTTTCCCCAGGCGCCGATCTTTAGCCTTGCCACAAGTCCAGACCAAGTTCCCCCTCTCCCCCAATCCGATTGATTACTCAGTCCACGAAAGGTGAACCACGCAAAGGAAAGAAACAGTTCTCGCATGCCACAAATTAAAAAGAGAGAGAGAAGCCTGAACAGCGGGAAGAGAACGAGAGAGCGAGACCTCAGAACTGCCCTTGTGGCTGTGTCAAGCACGCCCGGCTGCTATGAAGCCTTCATGAATTAAAAAGAAAAAAATTCCCGGTTCAAGTGTATTTTAATTGCTGCATTTCCTGGGCAGTGTCGAGGCAGTGTGCGCGTTCTGCAGCACCCGGATACCTACTCTTAAGCGAAGTTTGCACCGCACCGGGTTAGACTCGCAGACGCCCTCCAACTCCCCAACAAACA